TTAATTTTTTCAGTAAATTTCTTTGAGCTCTGAGCACAGATCTGGACACTTTGGGAATAAGAACAAAAAGGCAAAACAACAACAGCATTAGTCATAAGACAGTTTCTCAAACTTTGCTAGACATTAAAATATCCTGGGGGGTTTTTAGAAATCTGGTGCCTATACTGGGCCGCATACTATTGAATGGGGTGGGTGGGGACCAGGCATCCATATTTTTTTGAAGCTTCCTGATGAAGAAGGCCAAGGTTAAGAATTGATGCCTTAACCTGACAAGGGCAGGCCCTTCCTTGCCAGACCAAACCAGTCTCAGCCTCCAGGTGGAGACACGGTGTCTCAACTCACCTTGCACATTGTGCACAAGACACTCATAACTTCAGTGCGGGGAGGTGTGCGAGGCACAGGGACCGTACCAGGACTCAGCAGGCTCTCAGTAAAAGGGCACCATGCCCTTCTTCACATCACAGTTGCCGTACAGTGTCATCTCCTGCAGAACTAGAGCATCTGGAGACCTGGCTGCTCCTCCTGGCCCTGCCATCTAGGTCACCCTGGACTCTACCTGGGCCTCCAGTCAGCCCTAGGAGTAGTGAAGGCTCCAGGACAGGGCCCAGGGTTCGCTCTGTCTGAGGCACATGGCCCATTCTCCTCCCAGATGACTTCCAGCCTGATGATTCCATCACTGCCCAGGTCCCGAGGAAGCAGGTGCATGTGGCAGGGGGAGGTGGAGGGAGCCATGTGTTCCAAGTGAGCCCACCCAGCCCTGACTGCCTCCCCCCATTCCTCTTTCCAGTCTGGGAGAAAGCCAAGAACTAGGGTGCTTTTCCGTCCCCTGGCGGGTGCTCACAAAAGAAGAAAAAGGTTGGAGATCTGGAAATGCTAATGTCCCTCAGTGCATGGAGTTGTTTGCCAGGGTTCTGCACCTCTGCAGCTTTTCCCTCTGCCTGCTTAGTGCCATCACTCCTGCCCCACTGCCCCAGACTTTAGAGTCCCTGGTCCCTCCATGCACTTGCCCACTTGTGTACCTCTGCTTGTGCCATGCACTCTGGGAGCAGCGCTTCCTCCACGGCCGTCAGCTCAAATCCTGTCCATTTAAGGCCCAGCCCGGTGCCTCCTATTCCAGGACACCTTCTCCAGTCCAGCAACTATTCATTCATTCCTTCCATCACTCATTCAAACCTTACCTGAAACCTGTTCAGGGCCAGAAGCTGGGGTGCCAGGCACTGGGGAGCAGAGACAAGTCACATCCAGGCTCTGCTTTTAAGAGCTTTCCTGAGGAGTGA